TATAGAAAACTTGCATAATTTCAACTCCACATTAGTGTGGGGAGAAAAGAATATAAATGGTACCAGCAATAAAGTTTACCAAAGTAAGCTCTAGAGAAAAAGGGAAATCTTCAAGTATACTCTGTGTACACTACAAACCTGATTAGTTATGAGGAGAAGCAATGTGTCCGATTGTTATTTGTTTTGAAATTAGATTGTTAGGACTATGTAGTAATAAGAGTTAACGTGCTGTCGAGTCGGTTCTGACTCACAGCGACCGTGTATAAGGTTTCCAAGGAACTGCCAGTGAGTTTGAACTGCCAACCTTGCGGTTCAAGTGAACCTTGTGGTCCAGTGCTTATCCTAAGCGTCATTCCAGGCAACTTTAACTGTTAATCAGATTCTATGATTTTATAACAGGAAAAATTGAGGTCTAGAAAATGAAGTTGATCTGCCCCAGCTTGTACAGCTGATTAACGGCAGGGCCAAGACAGTAATCCAAGCCATCAGTGTTGTTTTCACACATTACTGAGTTTTTAGAAACTGGTTTTGAAATATTTTAACCCAGCTTGCAATGTCTGACCTTGATGGCAGAAATGATGCTGGAGATTGCATGATAGGATTTTCCAAGAATAAAGACTTACTCTTTGAAAATACCTTTTCAAACAACATAAATGGTGATTGATTATATGCATGGACATCACCACATGGAATACACAGGAATCAAGGAGATTACACCTGTGGGAAGAGTCGGTGGGAAAGCTCAGTATCATCCTGTGAAACAGACCATCATATGCAAGTTTAGGTGGTAGTTGTTGTTAAGTGCAGTTGAGTCCATTTTGATTCACAGCAATTCTCTATAGCATTTCCAAGGATCTTTGTGGGAGCAGAAAGTCTCATCTTTCTCCCACATAGTGATTGGAAGGCTTGAACTACTGACCTTGTGCTTACTGTATGGAGCCACCATTCTCCCCAGGTTTAGGTTGAAGCTGAAGAAAACTAAAACAAGTTCACAAGAGTCAAAATATGACCTTGAGCATATTCCCCATGAATTTAGAGACCATCTCAAGAACAGTTTTGATACATTAGACACTAATGACTGAAGGAGCTATGGGATGACATCAAGAGTATCATACGGGAAGAAAGCAAAAGATTATTAAAAAGGCAGGAGAAAAAGAAAAGAACAAAATAGATGTCAGAAGAGACTCTGATTGTTGCTTTGTAATGTAAAGATGCTAAAGCAATTGGAAGAAATGAGGAAGTAAAAGAGCCGAACAAAAAATTTCAAAGGACAGCTCGAGAAGACAAAGTATTATAATGAACTATGCAAAGACTTGGAGTTAGAAAACCAAAAGGGAAGAGCACGTTCAGCATTTCTCAAGCCAAAAGAACTGAAAAAGCAATTCAAGCCTCTATTTGCAGTATCAGTATTGAAAGATTCTGTGGGCAAAACATTGAATGATACAGAAAGCCTTAACATAGATGAAAAAATATAGAGTCACTGTGTCAAAAATAGTCCATGTTCAACCATTTCAAGAGGTAGCGTATAGTCAAGAACCAACAGCACTGAAGGAAGAAGTCCAAGCTACACTGAACGTATTGGTGAAAAATAAGGCTCTTGGAATTCAACAAATGAATGCAGCACTTGAGGTGTTCACTCATCTATGCCAGGAAATCTGGAAGACAGCTACCTGACCAGTCGATTAGAAGACGTCTGTATTTGTGTCCATTTCAAAGAGAGGTCACACAACAAAATGCAGAAATTATCGAACAATATCACTAATAGATCATGCAAGTAAAATTTTTCTAAAGATAATTTAAAAACGATAGCAACAGCACATTTTCAGGGAGCTGCCAGAAACTCAAAGTTAATTCAGAAGAGTACATGGAACTAGGGATATCACTGCTGATGTCAAATGGTTCTTGGCTGAAAGCAGGGAATACCAGAAAGATGTGTTCTTTGTGCTCTATTGACTGAAAAAGCTTTTTACTGTATGGATTATGACAAGTTGTGGAAAACATTGTGAAGAATGGGTATTCCAGAACACTTGATTGTGCTCATGAGGAACCTTTGCAAGTAGATTAGGGATGGTTTTAAATCAGGAAAGGTGTGTACAAGGGCTACAGTCTTCTACCATATTCATTCCGTCTGTATGCTGAGCAGATAATCTAAGAAACTGGGCTATATGAAGAAGAACATAGATAGTATCAGGGTTTGAGGAAGACTCATTAACAACCTGAGATATGCAGATGTTGTAACCTTGCTTGTTAATGCAAGAGAACTCAAAATACTTACTGATGAAGATCACAGCTTTTGGAATGGGGTGCACATCAATGTAAAGAAAACAAAAATCCTCACCACTAGGCCAATAAAATCCTGATAAATGGAGAAAAGATTGAATTTGTCAAAGACTTCATTTTGCTTGGATTCACAATGAACACTCATGAAAGCATCAGTCAAGATATCAAACAACGTATTGTACTAGGCAAATGTGCTGTTCAAGAGGCTTTTTTAAAGGGTTAATGAACAAAGATATCAGTTTGAGGACGAAGATAGCCCGGCACCAGTCCATGATGTTTTTAGTTGCCTCATGTATGAGTGAAAGTTGGACAGTGAATAAGGAAGACCATAGACGAATTGATGCATTTGAGTTAAGATTTTGGAGAAGAATATTGAAAGTACCATAGACTACCAGAAGAACAAACCAATCTGTGTTACAGAAATACAGCCAAATGTTTCTTAGAAGCAAGGATGGCGAAACTTTATCTCTTACGTTGTTAAGTGCCCTTGAATCCGTTCCAACTCATAGTAACCCCCTACAGGGTTTCCGAGGAACATTTGATGGGTTTGAACTGCTATCCCTGTGGTCCTCAGTCTAGTGCTGATCCGTTTAGCACCACACACTTCCGACATGTTATCAGGAAGGACCAGGTTCTAGAGAAGGATATCCTGCTTAGTAAACTGCAGGGGCAGCGAAAAGGAGGAAGACCCCTCAATGAGATGGATTGACACCATAGCAGTAGCAATAGGCATAAGTGTAGCAATGATTGTGAATATGGGACAGAACCACCCGGGAAGTGTTTTGTTCATTTGTGCATAGGAGTGCTAATGAGTTGGAACCAACTTGACGGCACCTAACAACAACAACAAGAATTTCACACACAAGCCACATGGAACAGAATGTAAGTTCATAAAATAAATTAGCTTCCAAGTCTGGAAGCTGGACAGGTTTAGGCAACAGTGATGTGTGCTCGTCAGCCAGGGTCCATCAGTCCACAAAGAAGTCTATCAACGTCTTTCCAGTCTGATCATTTCTTCATATCTGAACAACCTTTTGCCCCGTGTTAGCATTACCCATTATCAGATTTTAACACGTAGTAAACGTGTAACTGCATGGTATCAAGCCATTATTTCAGTCGTTTTGCTCAAGGGATCGTGTACCTTTTAGGAACTTGTAGTATAGTGAAAACAATTCTTCACATATATGTTCAAGTAAAGTATACAGACGTGATCAAACAGATTCAGTAATCCAATTCACATATGGCATTGAATACTTGTCAAAGGTAAGTGCTTTGCTGCTAATTAACCTGCATGCCAAGAATATAAATACTGATAGTAATCATAGTCCGGCCGAGGTAACAGATCAGACGTGTGATAAATATTAATTCAGTCCTTGCTACATGCTGTGCATTTGCTGATAACTTGAGCTGCATGCCAGGTGAGAGAAGGTCTTAACCTGGTTCTAGCTAGTAGATTAGAACCCTGAGTGCTCTTGCTTTCTGCTCTGTGTGTAACGCTGCTGCTTCGCTTGCCATACTTCTTTTGCTCATTCCTCTTTGCCTTCAACCCCACTGCTCATTTCTTAGTCATTCCCTGCACAAAGTGACCAGTCTTCATGGCAGGCACTATACACAAAAGTAAGCGAACACAACACGTACTCTTCATGTTCTTCATGCTGCTGGTCTACCCATCCCTTCATTCCTATAGCACATATTTACTAAGCACCCACGTGAGCTTGCCACGGGTCCAGTGCAGAGGATACAGAAGACTCCCTGGCCTTATTTGATTTCCTTTCTTCTGGGGAAATGAACTATACACAAAGCAATGTCTCCTCTTTAAGTAGTGACATGTTCTAGGAAGGTAAACAAAGCCAGGTAAAAGAAAAGAGATATTGTTTTAGGGTGGTTGGTGGAGGCAGCTCGGGAGAGAAAGCTTCTGAGCAGTGACCTGCATGATGGGCAAATTAAGCTGCACAGAGAGGGAACTAATGCTGGCCAAGGGCACAGCAAGTGCAAATGGCCCGAGGGAGTCACAAGAGTGACACATTGGAGGTTAGAGGAACCAGAAGACTGTGATGGAATTAGGCAGAGAAGGAAAGGTAACCAGGAGTCAGATTGATGCAGGGCCTTGTAGGTTTTGACAGGGAATTTAGCTTTTTACCATAGTGGGAAGGGGAAATGTGAAAGGGTTCTGAGCAAGGGAACGGCATGCTCTGAGCTTTTAACAACCACTCAAGGAAATGATAAGGGAGGCGTAAGCATGGAAGCACAGAGCCCAATTCAGAATGTCGGTGAGGTCATGGTGTTCTGGACAGCAGGAGTTAGGAGCAAGGGTAAGGAGAAGTGACAGATTTGGGGAATATGTTGAAGGTAATGGTTAATAACTGTAGATTGGCTGTATGTAGTCCTGGTGTGGTGCTGTGGGTTAGTGCACCAGACTGCAAAGTCATTTGAACTATTAAGGTCGGTGGTTCAAGCTTACCAGCTATTCCTCAGAAACCCTATACAGGGTCGCTATGGGTTAGAACCAACTCAACGGCCCTTTATTTCTTCTCTGTGAAGAATGGTGATGGTGGTTAGGTGCCACCTATTATGAGTCGGTTTGACTCATAATGATCCTGTATAGGGTTTCCAAGGATGGAAAAATAACACTGACAATCCCACATATGTTGTTAAGGGTCGTTGAGTCCGTGTGGCGCTGTGGGTTAATGTGCCAGACTGCAAAGCCGTTTGAATGCAAGGTCGGCTGCAAAATAAAGTTTTGAACTGCTGACTGTGAGATTAGCAGCCTGATTTGCAACCACTATGCTACCAGAGCTCCTTGTTGTTGTTGTTAAGTGCCATTGAGTCAGTACCTACCCATAGCAACCCTGCATAAGGTTTCTGAGGAGCAACTGGTGAGCTTGAATCACTGTCCTCGCAGTTCAAACCAACCTTGCCATCTAGCGCATTAACCCACAGCACCATATCAGAGCTCCTTAGGAGGGAAAAAAATTCACAAAGGAATAAGCATGCAAGAATTTGTTGTTAGCTACTTTTTAACGAAGTAGCATTATAACCTACTTTCCCCCCTCCCACCCACCCTAAAGAGCACAAACATCAGCATAAATCCAAATCTCACCCCCTTTTCATTTCTCTAACACCAGCTGAAACATGCAACACTTCTTTCTCTGACCAGAGCATCTCAGAACTAGGTCATATCTCATAAATTCAAATAACTCTGTTCTCCAGATGCCCAAAAAGACAAAGTTTAAACATTCTGATCATCAAAGAAGGCATAACTTAAGTTTTAAATGTTTCTTAGAATGTCATTAGATTATAACATTTCATTATTAAGCTCTATGTTAAAAATTAAATGCTGAGTTTTGATAGATTCTCCTATTTAAAGTAGTGATAGTCTAATATTGTTGACATATGTATAGGATTTTCACATTTTCTCTGTTTAAATTCCAGTCAAGTATAAACAGTGAACATTCTTTCAGTTAGAGTGACTGATGAACAGTGATTTTGAATGTTGACTTCTGACCCTTTGTCTCATTCAGGGAAGTGCCAGACACAGCTTCAGAATGTGACTCCTTAAATTCTTCCATTGGAAGGAAGCAGTCTCCTCCTTCGAGCCTTGAGATATACCAAACATTGTCTCCTCGAAAGACATCAAGAGATGAGCTCTCGCTTGAGGGCTCATCCAGAGGAGATTCGCCCGTCACTGCAGATGTCTCTCGGGGTTCTCCTGATTGTGTAGGCCTGACAGAAACCAAGAGTATGATCTTCAGCCCTGCAAGCAAAGTGTACAATGGCATCTTGGAGAAATCCTGTAGCATGAACCAGCTTTCTAGTGGCATCTCGGTGTCCAAACCTCGCCACACATCCTGTTCCTCCACTGGGAACGAGAGCAAACCAGTGCAGGAAGCGCCAAGTGTTGCCAGGATAAGCAGCATCCCACATGACCTGTGTCATAATGGAGAGAAAAGCAAAAAGGCATCCAAAATTAAAAACCTTTTTAAGAAGAAGTCTAAGTGAACTGACTGACTTGGTGGAATTCCATTCAAGTGGCATCGCTAAACTTTTATCTCCCACCCTCCACAACCCCCCTGTTTTGTTTTAATTTTAGGAATGTAACTCTATTGGGGCGTTCCAGACTGGATGCCATAGTGGAATGTCCTTAAGGCCAACTGTCTACTGTCTGCTTTATTTCAACAGCTAGATAATGATCATCAATGCATCCAGCCAGTTCTCACTGAAAAGAAATCATTAAGAGATGAGACAGTTTGCAGTCATTTCTGCCTATTTATTTCTGCTTTGTTACTGGTGATGTATATACGACATTTTGTTGAAAGCCACCATGGACTTACAGCTTTAATGGACTAGTAAGCCAGCATGGGCTTGCAAACATTCTTGTTTACCAGAGCATCTTCTTATCTTTCCACAGAGCTATTTACACCCTGAACTAAATAACTTAAAAGAAATAAAACTAATTGCACTACTGTTTTCCAGACTTGGGGGCAGGGAGGGGGCGGGGTGAATATCTGCAAGTGACACTGTATAGCGTTTATAAAGCAACCATGGACCATGGATAGGGGACTGTTTCCACTTTTAGATCAAAATGGGTTTTTAAGTAGTACCTAGAATTTCTAATTGACCTGATTTCTGGAAATGAAAACCCACGTTTTTCTTATGGGAAGATTCTTTCAATGCATTTAATATTAAAACGTTTTAAGTTCTGCTGTAAAGATCATGTTGTTTTGTTTTTCCCAGGGCTTTCACTGTGATTTACTGCATTGCAGACTGTATGATAAAATAGAAATACTTTAAAGAGAGAAGGCTCTTGATTCCTATACAAGTGGAAGAGTTGGAACTTGCTTTGAAGGACTTAAAACATTCACAAGCTTAAACTGAGGTGGGGGGACATGGGAGTTCAGGCACTTGTTTACAGACTTTGAATAACTCCAGAGGATTTACGGTTTGTGAAGAATTTGTATTGTGGAAAGGATAATAAATTGGAGATGTTATTGTGTGGGGTTGTGCTGATTTTTGTTGATAACACTCCTCTAAAAACACTATGTTTTCTGGAGAACCATGTATTACTGTTGTGTTACTTAGCTGCAGTATAAGAAATGACAATGTTTTGGAAGTAAGTTGTCAACAAATTTCTTTCTATTTTACATTGTTTGTCATATTTTTATGTAGTTTGAGATGTTTAAATATTCTAATAACATCAGCATTAACAAATATAAATTTATGGTGCATTTAGATTGTGTTGTATTACTTTGTAAAGTTTGGTTCTCATAAAACTCTGAAAAGTTATAAGGGTAGCTTTTATGTGAGGTTTAAATCACATAGGGCAACAAAGTACATACATTAGCATTTGGGGTCTTTCTGCTTAAGCCGTTAAGAATCCAGTCTTAAATGATCCAGTTAATGCAGTGTGATCACTGATACCTATTAGCACGAATGGGTTTTCAGCATTATGACTGAAATACATACTGTCTGAAACCAGCTGCCATGGACTTGGACTCCTGTTTACTCTGTGGATGTCAGCATAAGTGTGCTTCATACAGTTTTCAGTGGTTGGATTTTCAGATGTAGATTGTCAGGTCTTTCTTTGGAGGCGCCCCTGATTGGACTCAAACCTCCAACCTTTTGGTTAGCTGTGCTTAACTGTTTGCACCACTCCTGGACTCCATATACCGTCTAGGTGAAATGCTGATTGATTAATGTTCTTTTAAGAATTTACAGTTTCCTGGGATGGTGGTGATGTGCCATGGAGTTGGTTCCGACTCATGCAGCCCCGTACAGGTTTCCCAGACTGTAAATCTCTACGGGAGCAGAAAGCCCTAATCTCCCATTAATTGTTACTGTTAATTCTTCAGAGTCCAATTGTTTAAAATCCTAAGGTGTCCTCCCTGATACTTACTAAAGAATGGGCTGAGTGCTGTGAGGGCAAAAAGGGACCAAAATGAACTGAGTGTTTTGGGACTGAAAAATAAGGTAAAATAACTTGAAAAGCAGAATTAAGGACATGGGGGGAAATACAGATAAAGAACCGTAAAGCATTCAGAAAGCTTAGTCAGTGAAGAGACAACTTCTTTCTCCTCCCAGCTAGTTGGAGTGTGCTTTCCTTTGAAAACGGGACAAAAACTTTGTAGTTCTGTGGATAGAAATGATAAAAGCTGCTGGCATGTGGAGTGAAAGCGGGAGCAGGAATCGGCCCTTGGAGCTGTCAGCAGGCACGCTGTCAGGGTTTGAGGAATTCTGGGTCAGAACCACCTGGATGTTGGAAGTCCAGGTTGGCAGTGGGGCAGGCTGGCCTAAGGAGAGTCAGGAAACACATTGTTTATGCCACAGTTCACACATTTATAAACAAACTCATTCAGAACATTTGCTGTTTTATGTTGCATGTGATGTTTAGTTTGCATTATACAACGATCTTTATTACAAATTCAACAGAAAATAATGGCGTTTTAGAAAGCCACACTAATTTTTGTCTCACATCATTTACATGTGAAGAGTTGAATATTACTATTAATTTTTTTAAGTTACCCATTTAGCACCTCTTTTTACCTCTGAAAATGACACTATTTTCCATAGTTGGAAAGTCATTCCTTTCTGATTGTAGGGAAAAGATTAATGATAGGAAATTGTGAGGAGGCTGGGAGCTCCGAGGACCCGTTTCCCCCTCTCCATAATTTTGCCTTTCAGGTTATTTTACCTTATTGTTAGTCCCAAAACACAAAGTTCATTTCATTCTATTTTCTGATCTTTTTCTGCATGTTGATGTGTATTTTACATAATTGAAATCATATTAGATATTCAATTTATATTGTGCTTTTTTTGCTCAATATAAGCATTTCTTAATTTTTAAAAACTCTTCAAGGACAGCATTTTAATGAAAGTGTATATACAATGCCATTGTAGACTTACTGTTCTTTTTAACCATTTTTCTATTACTATTTCTAAATTGCTCACACGTTGAATTTACCATTTCCTGAACACTCTATATAGCAGACACTGTTCTGACCTCTAATGCATACAATCTTATTTAGTCTTTATACCAACACTATATGGTAGGTACTGTTTGGGGTTTTTTGTTTGTTTTAGATCACCATTTTTTTTTTTTAACTGATGAGGAAGCTGAGCCCAGAACAATCATTAATGTGTTGAAAGTTGCAAAGGTTAGTAAGTGGTAGGAGCTGTATTCTTAACCTCTGAGTCACAATGCGTAAATTCTAATCTACATTTTGATTTCTTAGATTTTTAGAAGTGTTTAGACTAATATAAAGATATTTTTAGTTTACATTCTCTCATACACATGACTTTTGTTGTTGTTGTTAGTGCCATCAAGTCAGTTCTGACCCATATCGAACCTGTATAGGGTTTCTGAGGAGCAGTGGTGAGCTTAATCACCAACCTTGCAGTTCAAACCAACTTTGCAGTCCAGCACACTAACCCACAGTGCCACACCAGGACTCCACACATCCCCGAGATGTAGGTATTAAGGTTCTTCATCCCTGTGGCCTGAACTGAAACTTACCAAGCATCATGCAGGTGGTACAGAACCAGGCCGACTCCCTGCTGTTACACATACGGCCCAGGATTCAGAGCTGATGTGACGGTAACTAACAACAACATCCATGTAGCTGTGTTGATATCTGCCCCAGATACTTGCCAATAGAAGATTGCAGAATGCCCTTGTACTTTATACCCGCTTTTCTGAATTACCATTTGGTTAAAACTTTGCTAATTTAGTAGGCAGATAATGATACTGCATGCTTTATTGGATTGAACGTTTTTTCCATGTTTTATTAGTTTGTATTTTTTCTTTCGGTTCATGGGATCATAGTGTTTTCGAAATGTTTTCATGTGTATTTGTTGTATCGACTAAATATGATTTTTTTTTAATCGGATGTTTCATGCTTATTTTTAAAAGCAAGTGATAGAAGATATAGATTTCAGTTTTTGTCTTCTTGATCTCCTGTATTTAGAGCTTGTATACAAGAGTTGTATATGATGAGGTGGATTTTCCCCAAAAAATATACAAGTAAGAGACAGAATCCAGTATCTGCTTACTTCATTCAACAAGTGTTTAATAGCCCACCGAACATTGTGATAGGATAGGCTTTGGAGGTATAAAGACTAATGCAACAGGCTCTTCACTAAAGAAGCTGAGTCTAGCAGAGGAGACATCAGACAAAAACCTGTGTAATGATAGAGATGTAAACAAATGTTGGAGAGGTGAGACTTTGTAAGGAGAGAGATTATACAGCTCCAGAGTACTAAAGCCAGGATAATTTAGCCATACTGCCATGCTCAGGACAGGAAAAGATTGGTTATGGCTGAAACTGAGCAAGTTCGTTTGAAAGATTCTTCTAACTAGTAGTATGGTTACCAGCAAGTGAACTTGCAACTACCGAATTCCAACAAAGCAACAAAAAAGCTGTGAAGATGCAGATTTTGACCAATTTGCTTGTCAGGCTGGTCTAGAATGGGATCAATTTATTGAGAAACAGCATTGGAGCAGGTCCACATAAGCCCCAGTACTACTGAGAAAGGACTAACCTCCCTCTGACCTACCCAGCTGTTATACTGGTAGTTGCTTTGGATTGAATTGTGTTTCATACCCCAAAATGATGTGTCAAGTTGGCTAGGCCGTGATTCTCAGTGTGAAACAGGTTTCCTCCATTTTGTGTTCTTGATCTAATTATCCCAAGTGTTATAAACCTTAACCTTTAGCATGATAGTGAGGCAGCGTTAGAGACAGTTACGAAAACGAGGCAAGATGCAATCTATAGGATTAGCTTCTATTTTGAGTCAGTTTTTGAGATCTAGATGAAGTGGAAACAAGTGAGCAGAGATCAGAGGGACTTGACAACAGCCAAGAAACCAGAGCCAGGAGAGGGATGTGTTCATTGGACCAGGGTTCTTATGCTGAGAACCATCTTGACCCAGGGGAAGATTGATGCCAAGAAACGCCAGACCCACAGGTACTGAACGCACACAGGATCCTCTCCCCAAAGCCTACGCAGAGAGAAAGGCTTCCTTTAGAATCGGTGCCCTTAGTTCAGACTGTGAGCGAACGCGCTGATGTTTCTTGACGCCGTCCCCTGGTGGGATCACAGCAGTGCGAAGTAACTGGTACCAGGAGTCAGGTACTGCTCTAACAGATAACCTAAAATGTAGATGTGATTTTGCAATAGAGTCCTGGTGTGGCCCTGTGGTTTATTTAAATGTGCTGGACTGCAATGTTGGTTTGAACCACAAGGTTGGTGGTTCAAGTTCCCTAGCCACTCCTTGGAAACTATACTGGGTCACTATGGGTTGGAACTGACTGAACGGTAAGTGTAGAAGAAGCTGGATGAGTTTGAAGAATCCTAACAGTAAAAGTCTCGATGGTCTTGGAGAGCCTGTTGGAATTACAGGCATCAGAGGCAATTCTGATTGAAGACTCCAAAGGAAGTGAGGGGAGCTTAGCTCTGGAGACAGTGCAGGCAGAGTGGTGGCGGCAGAACCAGAGGATCGATGTGAGGTGGTGTGGGAGTCAACCCACAGAGCAAGAGAGCTGAGTGACTTTGAGCCAATCGTCTTAATGTAGTGGGGGTGCCTCTCAGCACTTAGCAGTAGAACTACGGAGCTTTGTAACACTTGGCTGAATAGGTCAGAGGCCAGGTCAGCCCAAGAGACCCAAGGGGTCAAGGACTGAGAGGTCCAAGAAACAGGAATGAGCAGCTGAAGAGCCAAGGTGCATGGGTAATACAGCTACCTTAGTTTCAAAGGTGAGGCCACAACCTCTGGGGTCTCAAAGGATGGAACTATGGCCCACTGGGTTTCCAAGGGTATGGCCATGGTCTCCTAGGTTTCAAAGAGTCAGATCCTCACCAATTCAGTTCTGAAGTGTGGGAATGATGTTCATAAGTGCCAATGGGAAGGGGGCTAGAGCCACTGCCCAAACAGACTGAGCTGCCTTAAGAACAGGGCTCGGTATAAGGTCGCCCCTCATTTGAAGGAGA